AAACTCGCCAATGGCGCTGCCGTGCTTGGCGCGGACTTTGTCCGTTGACACGTCTCACACGTGCGTACATAGGTGCCGACCCACTTATACATCTTGGGCCACCAGTACATCGAGCTCACCGAGCCGTAGGTCTTCTCCCGACCTAAGTGCCCGCCCACGGGCGTATCATGAACCTCATAGAGGATTCGATACTTTAGATCCTCATCATGAGGAACGACTACACGAGGGTTATCCTCAGCGTCGGTGCTGTAGTACAGCAGGCCGCCATCGAGTGAGTATCGATGCAGCCTCGCGCGTAAGCGCCCAGACAATTCCTTGTCAGAGTCTTTAAACTCTTCGCTCCCAAGAGCCCGTAGCAGCGCTACGCACATGTCGTCTTGTGCATACGCTCCGCGTATCAAGTCAGGCACTGACGACGTCACTGTCGTGACATGAGCTAACTCGTAGTCCGGCCTGCGCGAGAGCGCATCGGCCACTACATTAAGCCGCCCCGGCTTGTACTTCACCTCGAAGTTATACTCGGCAAAGAAGGAAAGCCATCTTGCCATTCTCTGAGAGAGATGAGGCGACTGTGTCGCAGTGCGTAACGACGCATGATCAGTAAAGATCACAAAAGGCTTAGAGCCTAGCAGGTGTACCCTGAATTTGACTAGAGCATACTTCATTGCAAGTAGCTCTTTGTCATGAACTGGATAGTTCTTCTCTGCAGCTTTGAGCTGGCGAGACTCAAACGCGATCACGCGTTCACGCCCTTCGGCGTCTGCTTGTAGTAAAGCACAACCGATTGCAAAATCGGAGGCGTCACAGACGACGCTAAACGGACTATCCGGGTCCGGTAGCGCAAGGATTGGAGCCTGGAGAAGGCTCTCCTTCACAGCCTCAAAGGCTCCGTCGTGCTCGACGTTCCAGCACCATGGTGCGTCCTTCTTAAGGAGATCTGATAATGGCCGAGCCATCTCCGCGTAGTTCGCACTGTACTTGTGCAAGTAATTGGCTAAGCCTAGCCACTTGCGTAAGTCTTTTTGGTTCTATAGAGCCGGCCAGTCCACGATGGCCTTGACTTTGGCAGGATCTGCCCGTAAGCCACGCTTCCCAATGAAGCACCCGAGGAAAGGTATCTCCTCCGCGCCAAAGACGCACTTGTCCAAGTTGGCATACAACTTATTAGTGCGCATGCACTCGAGCACCGCTCGCAAGTGGTCAATGTGGTTATCCACGTCTGACTTTCCGTGCTCGGC